TAATAACAAGTCCTCTCTACAGGTGCGTAGGTAGAGACCAGTGTAGTTAGGGCAGGTGTACGCTTATACACATGAAAGCCTACGACTCACTTTTGCACATTCCCCTCAAATCTTCAGATCTCATCTAATAACTTCCACTTGTGTTTGAGAAAGAGGATGAAAGCTAATAAGATCCTGGCATTATTTGCTTTGAAGAAAGCTCTTATATGTATGTCCATCCAAAGGTCATCTTGTTTTGAAATTGTACCCCGGTACCTGCAATTATAAGGGTAATATTTTTTCGTGTCAAAAAGAGTAGTTCATTGAAGGTAGTTTGGTTGTTTTTGGATTTTGAGTTTGCTAGCCAGACCATTTCCCAAGAAATTTACCTCCCGCAGAGTGTGAACAGGATTGATTATGTTGTTAAACTTCACTGGAAAAGCAAACACTTGTTCCCCTGTTTACACTAGCTCACTCTGCCCCTCATTATCAAAACAACAAATTGAATCAAAACATAACTCGGGTAAGATAAATGACTTTTGAGTCAATCCCATGTACCAAGTGATTAGCTTTTACTTAATGGAAAGATAACAGTTCCTGAAAGTGTAACTGTCTGTCCTGGGAATACAGCCCCTCTGGAGGGCCATGTTTCCAGCCCATTATCTCCCTGTGCTAAGCTTATCCACAGGCAGCAATGTGGTCGGCCATCTTGTGACAGATGTGAGAACATTTTTTAGTTTAGAACCTAGAGCAAGGACCCAAGGGTTGATCAACCACAGTGACCACCTGCCCATTCTGGCCTGAACAAATTTCCCGTTAGGTGTCTTGGTGCCAGGTCGCTTTATCAAAGATTTTATTTTTCTGAATACAGTGTAAGTGAAGTGGCCAGCTGCTCTCTCGAGATGTCACTTTAAATGAGCTTGTTTGAACAGTTGGAGTCTCTCATGTGTATGGATCAATTAACTCTTCGCAGAGGAAAGTCAACTTTTATTCCACAGCACATCCCATTGATGCAACCACGCACACCCAAAGACTTAAATGGTACAAGAAACATAGACCGTGTGTCTTCCAAGTTATTTTCCATTCGGAGCGTGCCCAAAGAGAAAAAAACAACTTGAAGAGGTGGAAAATGGTGAAGGCAGTTAATGCCAGCATTCCTTCCCATACACTTCATTGAGTTATCCTAGTGAAATCATTAAGCACTGTGCCAGCTTTTCACAGAGGAAGAAACCTGTCTCAGTCCCAGCTTGTGCGTGCATGACTTGCCGCTTGTAAACATGTTGACAAAAACCTCACATGTTGACTTGTTGACGTATTTGGCTGACATAATGTTAATGTTAAGCGTGTATTTCATGGCTATTTTTGCATTCTCGATGTTTGTCTCGGTAGGCCTGATTTAACCTCCCACCCGGGGCATTTCAAAATGACAAAATATAGCAGTAGTGTCACCCGTTTCCATGGTGATGGTTTGCATCTTCATCGAGGGAAATCCTTGAACTGACAGTTAATGTCCTGAGTTGTTCTTGTCTAAAGATCGTGGTTAAGTTACCATACCGCAACGAACACGTAGGAACCCAATGCAGAGGTTTAGAGGAAGCATTTGGAGCCAAGCAGTCACGGTCAATTTTGTCTGGTCTCACACCTTGCCCGCCCAATCCGTTGAACTTAATTTCCAGCGGCACAAACCAGATTGTTTACAGCTATTAATGAGCCTGCACGCATGCAGTGTTCCTGCCTGTTTTTCTAAGTGGTCTAACACCAGGCAAGCCACACTGGAAGAAAGCGTTTTCTTTGCAAGTTACACCTAGAACAGAAACAGGTGTCCACAGTTTGTTGTTCGGGAGATTGGAAGTAAAGTGTGATAAATTAAAAAAAGTAGTCTTTATTCAAAGCCAGTGGCATCCTCCATTGGCCAGTGGGTGTGAGATTTACAAGCAGTCAACAAGCGACATGTACATGTACATGTACCTTTCTCTATTGTCTCATCTAGCTGTAGTAAACATGTAGCTTGGGAGCCTCTACAAATTACCCCCTCCCCTCATGCACAACTTTTGCACACCTGTTTAATGTGCTTGTTTAATGTGTGCGGCCTTGTACTCTTGAATGGCTACCTTTAATTACCCAACTAGAAGGTTTTCCTGTTGCATAACACTCTTAACTTAACTGACTAATATTGGAAATTAAGCAATTAATCCTCCTCCTTCAATCCAGGAAATTGGAAAACCACTTCAGAGTTCTTGCAGCTTGTCATAAGGTGCTTCCTAATGTCATATCAAGCTTGGTGTTCATTCATTAATGAAATGGAATATTGTGTCCAATAGACTTCAGCCTTTCTTGCTTGACCTGTATTTTGTAGCACATTTACATATATGTAAAGACCAAATTGATTGTTTCCAGCATTCTGATTTTTATCTTAGTAAATGTGATATTCCGGAACATTTTGTCAATGGGGGGGTTATCCATTTTTGGACTTCTTCAAACCGTCAAGGTCGGATCGTACTCGATGGGAAAGTGGGCACAAATGCGAATTTGTGATGTCAGATCGAATATTTGCACTGCAAATTCGCAGAAGTGGAACACATTTCAAACTCACCTCCCATACGCATTCGCCTGAAGTATGAACAGGCCTTCAGTTAGTTTTTGTGACATCCACTGCAAGTTTGCTCCTTGAGGAGCTTTCTCCTTTAAAGTGGAGACCAGGTGGCATGTTGCAGAGAGAATTTTCAACACACACTGTGTCAAGAATATGCCCTGTTTAGAGAACACTCAGCGATGGGTAAAAAACTCAGCAAGATCATGCAACAAGAAATTATGACCTGAAGGGGGTGCAGGAGCGAACGGCATTTTGCCTTCATCACTCCCGGCATGAAGATAATTTCCTCCCCAGACGCTACTTCCTAAACTAATTGAGGGCACCCATCAACAGCCTCAGCCAAGCAGCAAAGAGTGAAGGGGGGGGGGACTTCAGAACCTGTCATGACTATCGGAAGATTGGAATCAGAACCGCTCCCCTATTTGCCAGCGTCATGGTCCTACCCTCCCTCCTCCCAAACACCCCCAAGTTGGTTAGACTCCAGCAAACAGTACGCGGCACATTCCCGGAGAGAGTCGCCCTCGCTTTTCTCCACTACCCCCGTACTGGTACATGTATCCACCCACTGGCCCTCCTGACTAGCTGGGGTCTAAGCAAAGTAATTGCGGCATTTTTCTTCATCAGGGAAGTGCGTCATGAAGGGAAGTCACCGTGTGTGCATTGCATATTTTCTGGGTGTTTGGTCCAGTGAATTATTCTCAGATACATGCAGATGTAGGGACTTTTTACATGTCTGCATAATATCAAGGCATTGGAGAAGGTTTAATGACAGTACATGGAACTTTTCATTTGATCTTTAAAGTTCCATGGGAACAAGCCCACAGATTGCATATGAAAAGTGAAAAGGGTGCACTGTACCAAAAGTGAAAATGCATGAAGGAGTACTGTAAATCTAAAGTGTAATCAGTATATCCACTGTACATGTTGTTTCTAGTCTAGGCCATGGGTGATACAGCCGTTTCACAATAGTGCGCCACCAAGAGTTTGCAACGTGTTGGCCAATCATAATGCACGAAAATTGTCGACCCAAAGCACGTTTAGAAAGGGTCTACAAGTTTTGAGCGTTGTGAATGGCCAACGCGTTGCAAACTCTTGGAGGTGCCCTATTGTGAAACGGCCATATTCAACAATAGCTGTGCATTGTTATTATGCACAAAGATGTAGATTGGAAATAGAACATACTTTGAAGTCTTGTGATACTGGCGATGAATGTACATGTACATGTTGGTCACTCCAGTGTAATTTTGGCTGATGAATATGTGATGTAGACTTTATGTATTTGGGTTGAATTACTTACATGTCGACCACTTCTGGAGTCATATTGCTTTCTCGCGCATTGAAAAGTTACTGGTAGAATGACTGCATCACAAAACAAAACAAGAACCTCTATTTGCAAAGGTCCAGATGCCATCCTCCTGGGGCAAACAGAATCCGAGCAGGAGAATTTCTCGCAACTCTTCTATGGCTTTTTAAGCAGCAATGCAAACAGGACAATTTCCCTGAACTCTTCCTCAGCACGGGGCCCTTCCGTGCGGATGCATAAAATGGGACAGCATCTCGTTTGGTTGGGACATTTCGTCTCCACCCAAATCAATAAAAATCCTACGCAGATTTCCTGCAGACTGTGTTTTTTCACTCCCCTGGCCAAATACATTAAACTTTCAGAGCTGTATAGTCCAACGAAAGAGAAACCGCATAAACACTTTTGAGGTCATATGGGCCCCCCAGTGCCAAAGGAACCCAGCCAAACTACGTCATTCCAAAGCCCAGCGACCTTGGTCAGTGACTGGAGTGTAATGTGTTGCCTGTGATGATAATGAGATGTTGCCACAGGGTCATGGCAGGAAGTTATGCGTTTCAGCCCTACGTGGCCCACCAACTCACGTTGTGAAGTGTGCTCCATTCAGGATGCCTGTGTGTATATATACAGACACCGTTGGCCCTGAGCACAGCACACTCGCTTGTCAGTTTTCACCGTGTGCGGTTCGGAGAGTAAGGACCCACCTGAAGGGAACTTCAGGGACAGACGCTGGTTGTTTTTATTGTTTGGTGTGAGCAGAGAGGGATTGGTGAAAATTTCAGAGAGCCTCTTTTGGTTGTCGGAGTTGTGAACAAATGGGATACAAAAGCAAGCTGAAGAAGGTAGGATTGTGGCAGTTGTGTAGGGAACCATATCTCATGTTTACACTTTTTAAGAACCCTCGTTTGGTGGGTTATCTTTGGAAACTGTCACCTGCAGACAGTTTCCTTGCAGATTTTTCTCTTCAGAAAATGTCGTACCTTTGAACGGTGTTTTCAGGTTGTTACCATCAACGCCAGAAGACAGTGTCAGGATCCAATTGCCCAAGTTGTGAGTTTGGAAAGGGTAAAGAGTTGCCTTCGAAATGTTAACCACTGCTCTGTTTCTCGCTGTTCCCCTCCCTTGCAGGCCTTGGTCTACCAAGATGGCAATCTTAATTCGGGTACGTTAGAGGCATTCGTGCAGCACATGGTACCGACAGTGGACTATTACCCAGATGTAAGTTGACATAAATTTCTTTTCCTTTTATCAAATCTGAAAGTTTTTAAAAACAGATCTTGGTGACTCTACAGATCAGGGAAAAAAGGTTCACCTTCAACTTTCTGAGATTAACTATGTGTAGTCGGAAGAGAATTTTGTTAAATGTAGTTTAAAGGGGAAACTTGAAGGCTTTTGTTTTGATGTTCTCTTCTTCCAATCGAGAACTTTCTAGAAATGGATACAGAATATTGTCTACCATAATCATTGCATTTACTGGTAACTATGAGCTGAATCAGTTCAAACCGTCATCAGAAAAAGAACGATGAAGTTGCGGGGTTATCCTTGGATCAAGGTCATGTACATGTATAGACAACAAGGATCTCAGTAAATTGGCCTTATTACAGGATGTCCAGTTGGCAATAAAAGATTGAAACAGGAATCCTTGAATTGTAGGTGGACATGCAAAACTGCTATCAGGGGAAAATCTATTTTGGTCTGCGGCCAGGCTGATGCATTTCCCGATCTTAGAGATCACGCACTCAGGTTTTCCTGTTGACAGCCGATTTGTGAATGGAACGAGGAGTCGGCTGGGTGCATTCATCCTGCCGGAAGTTCATGAGGCATTCAGTTTTGGCCGGTACACATTTGCGATAGATCAGTATTTTGTTCAGCTGATGCAGGCTACCAGCCAAAAGTTGCATGATAAATCTGTGTTGCGTACGAAAGGTTGAAGCTGTTTTGGGCCAGAAATCTTTTGGCTTGGTAAAAAATAGAGCATTTTCTCCTCCCTGTGAGTTTCCCTTTTAAACCTGACTATCTTCTTTTTTTTTGAGTTGGTGTTTGTTTTTTATATTGCAACTATTTTTAACTTCTCGTTTGTGTCTTACCAAATATTTAACCTGCTTGATAACAGAAATCCATCTGCCACCTTAAAATATCCACCACTTTAAAAAAAAAGAGTTGGGTTGCCTCTTCCTTTAAAAAAAAATCACAGAGGAGAAACTTACAACTACATGTAGTTGATTCATCATTCTTTCGTCATTAAAAATGGCACTAAAACTAACTATTTTCGTCGGGTTTTTAAGTAAATTCTTTCAATTTTAATGTATGTATAGTTTGTCTATGAATGTACGTGTATTTTAACTACTCACATTTGTGTTTTAATGGGTTCGATTGTATCTTTAGATTTGGTTTCATCCTTTAAAGCGCATTGAGCTCACCTTGTGATGTAATGCGCTATATAAGTATTCATTATTAGTAATCATATTGCATGCTCAGGCAGCCTGTAGGCCCAGGGACAAATTGGGAACGAATTACGGTAACAACAGAATCTGCAAACATTTTGGGGGGGTGGAACTGTGGTTTTTCAATCAAACCTCAAATGTGGATCATGCAGTCAATGTTGCGTCCCCGTCCGTCCGTGTGGTTTTCATTGTTCAGGCAGGAACAATGTTTCCAGCCTGCGGTATGGTTCTGGTGAACAGTGCAGTGGGTTCCAACCGCACAGCAGTGTTACCGGAGCAACAATCATAATTTTGACAAATATGGCCAGAAAAGAGATCGTCTGTGAAACTGATCTAAAGGTAGTTATCATGGGTCTTATCGTGTACTGTGGGAGTGATTCCTGTGGTGAGGTAATACCCACCACTGTAAACATTAAAAATATTCCAATAGATTCCACCCTTAGAAAGGCTTATAAATGAAATTCTGATTTTGTTCCACTGGTAAAGTGGATCCAGTTGTGCGTTTGCGTGAGTTGCGAGCATAAGTCACTGTTAGCGTGTTGGAGGCAGATTGTGGAAGTGTTAAATTCATGCTTTAATCCTAGCTTGGCCTGCTGACTGGCCAGTGCATAATGAACCCAACCAAGGATCCTGGCTTATATTAAACGCAGATCCTCATTTCCTCAGGAGAGTTTTTGTGTCCCGCACTATTATTCCACCCAGTAACACCCCTTGGTACCTCTTAAGCAAAGCCGGCCCCGTGTGGATTGTCCTCTATCCAGAACGGAAGTTTCCCGCTGTTCAGATGGTTCATATATATTGTGCATGAGCACGTACGTAGAGTGTGTGTGTGTGTGTTAGGGACTCTGTTTTCAGTATGTGGCACTTTATTGAAACTGCAAAACATGTTATGTAAGTTTGTCACATGTGTTCTTTACAGTGCATTAAAATAGTTGATGGAGGCTGTCGGCAAGAAGTACTGTAGGTTGGGTGTTTAACCCATGCTTCACTTACATGTGGGAAAATACAGCACTATTATACCCTAACATTCCCGAATTCTCCGATTTCCAAATGATTTTCTTAGGGATAAGAAATATCTGTTATTTTAGTTCTGTGCCGTGAATTAGAATGGCCTTTTACTGGTCGGGCAGTTCACTGTGGAAACAAATGAGCAAATTCAAAATGCTGCATACACCTTGGTTCTTAAGTTAATGAACTTATATGTTAGACTAAGACAAAGTGACAGCTTTGAAGAATGGTGATTGCTCAACCATCGGCTGCATCTTAGAGTCCTCTAAATCCTTGGCACGCTTCCCTTAAAATATGAGGGCTAAAGAAAGATTTCTGTGGGGCAGGCCTGCTTAGATTTCAGGTCTGGATGCTCAAGTGATTAGCATTATGATTATGCTGAAGAAGAGGTGGAGATAATGCTGACATCCGATGAGTTGATTTACCGGGGAATCGGGGGATTCTTCTGTTCCCCCCTTTAGGATGAATCACGGCATTCACTGCTGTCTCTTCGCCCTTCCTCTCGGCGAGAATTAGACAGCTTCTTAAGAATCACTCCCAGATGGTTGTCCCATTAACCAGCCACACTGAGGTTTATTTTTGGACGGGGCCGCTGGTCAGAATGTGACAATGGTGTGCACCAAATCGGACGATTACTCAGGAAAGGGAGTCGCCCCCAGCATAAAAGTTTTGGGTCCGCGAGAGGTCCTGTTTTTTTGTATTGTGGGCCATTACGATTTTAGCAGCGGGCGCTCAGGTTGACTTAGATTGTGAAAAGTTGGATTTTAAATGTAAGCCTGTAAGTTGGGTTTGCCAGTCATTAGGAATGGGATAATTCATTTTGTTGTGGCAGTATTGTCTTTGTTCAGTATGGTTGAATCGGTGGCAATATACATTTTTCCTGGAGTTTATCAAATCCCACAGTTTTTAGTAAGCTTGTCCAACCAATAACCTGCATCAATCACAATTTTGCTTGCAACACAAATCAAGCCCAAGAATTCCATTTACCTGGGGCTCAAGAACCCAAATTCTAATGTAAACATCTTGCCGATGTGTCACAAAAATTATCTGAGGAGGAAATCAAATTACCTGGTGTCTCTTGAAAGAGGGGTGAACTCTCTCCAAGGAGAAATTTTGAAAAGGTGGCTAAGATTGATGGGGGGTCACTCTGGACACAGGATGTATAGCATGATGTCACTCCCTAGCCCTGAGGCCGGGATTAAAATATGGGTGGGTGGAGGGCAGCTTGGAGGAGTGTCAGCGGAATCCTTGAACTTACTGGCTGCATCCTTGTTTTAAGATGGATGCTGGCTGTAGAGAAATTTAAAAAAAGATACTACAGATGGTTGAAGAATGACATGCTCAAAGTCAGCTTGTTATAAGGTACAGTTCAGAGATTGCCATGTGTAGTGTTGGCTTTGCAGTGAGGTTGAATGGATGGGAAAAAAGAAATCTATACATGTACACAGGTTAGGGGCCGGGGGCACTGTATTCGGGGGGGGGGAGAACTTGAGACTTCTGGAAGGCTCTTGAAATGTTGAGGCCAACTCTTACTTCACTTAAATCTGAATAAATTACTCCAACCTCAGGCTACCTGTAAAAAGATTTAAAAAACACCCAAACAGAAGACCCCTGTTTTTGATTCTTCTACGCACTTGTCATGAGAATGATCCAGAGCAATCCTTTTTTTTTGGGGGGGGGAACATTAATGCAAACTTTTGCGCAGCTTTCCCATACCTGTGTCTATCCTTAATCTTGACCCCATTGGCACAGTCGCCTTGGTGTTCCAAATCCTGATCCACTCACCCAGAGAAAGAAATAGGTTTTTGATCTTGGAGATGGAAAGCAAAATTGAGAAACGCCAGGCATTGCATGTATGGGGGGAGGGGAATTGGGCTTGGCGCTGGTGACTTTGACTCTGATCAGAGCTGTCAGGGGCGGGGGGAGAGGGGGCAGCTTTTCTCTCCTTCTGACTTTGAACTTAACAGGTGTGCCCGGCTCGCCTCAAGACAGATGACGCATGCTGTGACAAAGTGTTACTTTAAGGAATCTTCCAATTAAATCCCAATTACTGGCTAATTTTGGACAGAACAAACGTCATACATGAAGGGGAGCCAGTTGCAGGGGGACATGAGAATGGCAATGTTTAGGAGTGCCCCACCCTTGCTCTGCAAGAGGCAGGCATTGGATGTACTCTACATGTGGGTGACACGTCTGAGCTTCAAAGATTCCTCAAGAGGTGATTTTCTCCTAGTTCTTCTGCAACATTTAGATCATTCGCTTTGGATTGGATGGACTTTTGACTATTGCTCTGAGCATCAAGCACCCATGTTGATGACTGGCTTTCATTTGGCTAGTAACACATACACATGGCATGCATGTAGGACACTGCAGTGCAGGCCCACCTGGGAGGCCCCTGCCGTTATTAAATTTCCAGACCACCAAGGCCCTGTAAACCAACATTTAGTACCAATTAACTACCGTGTTTCCACATTGGTGGTTGAGAGGGGATGGCTCATATCACAGCCTCTTCTCTTCAAGGTTCTCTGTGGTTTGTTTTCAGGGTTCAAGCCCAGTTCTCTTGTATTGTTTAACTGCCTGATGTTACTGGCTCTGGGGGTGGTCCATGAGGATGTAGAACAGAGCTTGCATTGTCAACTCTTCTCTGTGGGTACACCAAACCCCCCCTCCCTTGTCATGATCTTAACCTTCACCTCATGCCTCCAATATTTCTTGATATAATTATCTTTGCGTGGAATTCTGCAAAGTTATATTAAGAGGAAGAAGTCTTCTCTTGTAACTCTGGGTCAGTGGGCTATGAGACTTTACAAAAACTCTTCAGGGATTTCTTACTTAAGAACCTGCAGATGCTGAACGTTGATGCCGCCTAATATAATGTACACACAGTCTGTCAAGTCCTTTGGCATGCAACAGATGTTGAAGAATTGTGCATTGCAGTGCGAAGAAGTTTACGCTGCTGAAACAATGCACTTTGAAGCAACATGCACAGAAAGAAGTTGAAGGCATTGCACGTGGTTAAACTCCATGTCGATTGCTGTTTTTATTGCTTATTTTAGAAAAAGTACTGTTCTGTAATGACTCATATGAAATGACATCCGGAACACGTACACAACTTTAACCAACTGGTCTCTGAATGTACCGGACTCTGCTGGAAATCATGTCCTTGGATGTTAACAGCAAACAAATTTTGAGTGTGAAAACTGGCTGAGCAATCAATACCTTAATCCCATGGGCCTTCAAGAAGCCCAGCAGCAGATGTCTCCTGGCATGGGATTTTGCATGACAGGATGTCTTGGCCTTTCTGACAGTCAGTACTCTTCACTGTCTGCCCCACCCCAGGGCCCTGCCGGTACATGCAGATAAAAGAAGAGAACCTGGGTGATGATTTTCACTTTTTCAGTGGGGCAAAGATGGGTTTTACTGGCTTACACTAAGTGGATGGACGGGACGTACCACTGCTTGGTACACGTAGACCGTCATAGTGCCATGGTAATGTTGCGGATTGGTAAGTTATCTCTGAGATTTGCGGAACTGTCCCATTGCATTATGACCCTTTCGAATCATAACACGTGCACCGGACACTTTAAATCAGTTCAGATGCAAGGATGAACAAGCCTCTGTGCAACGTCCAAGTTTTTTTCCCCTAATTACCTCAAGGCTAAGAAATATCCATTGCAGCTGACAAGAACCACTCATCTGCCAGAAGTGCCAAAACCCTTGTAAACCTAAGGAAGATTGTGAAAGGATGGAAGCACATTTTCTGCATCTTTGGGGACCGACAAAAATAGCCTGGCATGGGTCATTGCCATGTGGTAGTGACTGGATAACTACTGGTAGGGACGGGAATGTTGTGGTTATGGGATGAGATAGCAAAGACACCTATGGAAGCCAGTTGCTAAATGGCTTTGTGCATTTGCCATGGATACTTGTATTTTCAGCCGTAGTCTAATAGTTAGGACATGACCAGCACTAATGCTTTTTAGTCACTCGCCAAGGTTGAGTTGGGATTTGTTGGTTAAAATGAGGAGCGGAAAAGTGCCTTTGTTAATGCATGTATGGAAAACGGGAAGGGGGTTTGATCATTCTGTGATGTCGTTTTTCCTGGACGTATGTTTGACAGTGTTCATTGAAGTTTGCCTTCTACTTGATGTCTTGTGTATTCCTTTGAAATGCCAAAAATAAGAGCATATAGTTGGAATTCTTATCAGAAATTTCCCTCAATTGCACACAGAAAGACTTTCGACAAGTTCAACTGCACTTGACACTGATGATTCCAAAAAAAGAGAGCCATGACCTCGTGAGGGTGACCAGAATTCAGTGTGGTAGCCACTCACTCCAGTGTGACTGGATGTTGCTGGATTTAACTCAAGTCTTGTGGTCTGTGCTTCTCAAAGGCCAGATTCTATAATCCTTATATTTCCTGTGGTCCCTGACAAAAGCCACTCTGTGCCTTAGCTGTGAACCCGAGCTGTGTCATGTCTGAAAATACCTTGTGGCTTCCTGACGTCTTTTGCGGTTCCTCTTTTCTCCCTGGAGCTAATGGTTTGTTTATATTTTGAATTTAATGGGCTGCTAAGGGGCCCCCATCTGAAATAAAGTGGAAGCCATATTGGATTTCGTCTGCACACTTTAACTGTGACCTCTGATGAGGACAGACTGGAAAATTCCAGATGGGATTTCAGGAATTTCCTGCAGATTAGATTTTGATTGATTTCCCCAAAGCCACGGTCCATATAGGTCAGGATTTTGAGAAGAAAAGTCACTTTGACCCGCTAAATCAGTTGAGAAAATTTGGTATTAAATTCAGTGCTGACACTGTAAATTGAACTTAAATGTGGACTAGGCTTCTCCACCTGCATCTGGGGAATTCTCAATTACCATCTTTATGGCCATGCTTGCTGAATTAATTTTCCAAGTTACATTTCCACACACATTGTTGCTATTTGTTGAGACATCCTACCCCATCCTGTCAATAGCTTATCTTAATATCTGGTCCTTTGGAAATTGACAGCATTCACCACAGCACAGTGTTCAGTAGACATTTCTGCCCAGTCCAAATTTTATTTTTCTTCAGCGTAAGGGCAACTCCCCTGTGTATACGTCTGTGTTAAATGTTACGGTCGGTGTCTAATGTGTCACACATGTGGCATTGAGGCTGCACAGAATGCTGTCTCGTGTAAACACGTCTAGTACCCCCCCATGGTCACAGCCTCTTTCGCTTATGTGGTTCATGGGATCCATGAACGCATTCGAAGTACATTCTCATAAACACGCCAATGATTTTAATGCTTGCTGACAGCACCGCCAGGGAATGATTTAATGCTCCATATCTGTTGAATCTCATATGACACAACAAGGAGGAATAAGAAGGCAGTGGGAAAGGGGTTTAGCCGTTCCAATGTTGTAGGGACTAAGACAAGAGTTATGGCAGGTTATCACACAAATGCAGAGTTTTCTCATAACAGTTGGCCAGTGACCATTGCACCCATATTGTTACTACATTAATGATGAGCTGAATCCTCTTTTATAACTATATGGAGATCTGAGAAAGGTTTGGTTTCAAACAAAGTGGAAGAGTTTGAAATGAAAAAGTATTTTATATTCTGTATATAAGACCCTTGACTCTTGCCAGTCTGATGACTAGCCTTCATACAATTTGTACACAAGTTACTATTGGTTTTTTAAAACCTGGTTGAATTTCTGTACACAGTGTAGACTGCTAAGTTACTATTGATTCTTTAAAAATCTCTTTCAATTTCTGTACACAATGTAGACTGCTAAGTTACTATTGATTTTTTTAAAATCTGGTTCAATTTCTGACACTGGCCTTGGCCCGTGCTGTACTACATTTCCTGAAGCCTTCCTTATGCCGCTCATACCCAAGAAGCTAATTTTTTTGTTTTTAAATCTTTTTCCCCTCCTACTTCTTTGCAGAGGACCTACCTGTTTGCCTTCCTCCTCAACTCCCGCCTCTTCATCAAACCCCACCAGCTCCTACACGATGTCTGCCAGGTCTGCATCCGGCAACAGAAGCTGGGCAGCCCCGACGTGGACAGGGAGTCCTCCAAGAAGTTTAGCCTCAAGCTCCTTCAGTTGCTCATGTGAGTTCTCGGTGTGGAGAATGAAAGGGTGGGGCTTGTTTATTGGAGGGAAGGGGCACTTGCGTGGGAGGTGTTTTTGTCGTGGCAGTTTCTTTCCTTCTCAGATTCTAAAAAGGAAGGGAGGGGTCACAGGTATTAAGTGGGAGGAGGGGGGAATGCCCCATATTTTTGAGTCATGCCCCAAGTCATGCCACTGTTGTGGGCTTTGTTGCAGGAAGTAGGAAGGATGTGCGTGCCAAGTACTAAGGTGACTTTCTTGACAGACAGGGATGTTTAAATTGGTCTTTGGGATGTATGTTCTTTCAAATCAAGCCTTTGGCCAAGCTAGTCACGAGATAGCTCATGCCACTGAGTTTCGGTGTCATTTGAGGATTAACAACAACACTAATCTTAAGACTACTTGCACCAGCAGGTTTATTGGCACTTACAGAATTTAATTTTACTATTAAACAACCCCCTAATAAGCTCGAGATGTCTAGTTAGTCAGTTGACCAGGAATCTCTTTCTTTTCCAGTGAGTGGACTGAGACATTTCCGTATGACTTCAGAGACGAGCGCATGATGAGGCACCTAAGGGACATCACACAGAAGTGTGTGGCGGTGGACCAAAGCCTCAGGAAGAACGTGGGTCAGCTTATGCAGGCATTAATCAGAAAGGTAATGGAGAGTGGTCGTGATTGCTGTGAAATCGCACACAGTGTGCTCAAGTTGGACTAGGTGTCGTTGGTCTCCTGTTTTCTCAAAAGAAGTCCACTCCTCCTTAAAACTCCTCGTCAAATCCTTCCTCATCTTCTGGTGAAGTTTAGAAAGGATTTGGGAGGTTTAAAAAAACTCTTTTTCTATGTGTGAGCATATTGCAACAACATCCCTCAATCTGGTCTTTACAACGTAAGAAAGTCTTGTAGAAACTTATTATTTAAGTTTGAATCAGTTTACTTTTAGAATGAAGTTCAGTGACTTTATATTAGAGATTTACTTACTGAAAAATAGATCAAAAAATCATTCCTCTCTTGTCAGTTAAATGATTTGCGCTGATGAATCTTGACCATAGGTTTGGATGAAAGTGTGTAGTTAGTTTTATTTGTTGACTGTTGTTACCTCCATGCAGTTGGCCACATTAGAGAAGTACGAAGATGTCCTGTCAAGAGTCAATGCAGCCGCCACAGAGAGAATGCACTCGTTGAGGACAAATCCGGCAGCATTCCAGACGAACATCATCGACGTCTGCCCGAGTGCTTACGTATTAGCCCAGCAGCTCACCCACATTGAGCTGGTAAGTAATGCGAGAGAAATTTTAACACTTATGGATTGCCAGCCGTGGCTGTCATTGGCACTTTATGGTCAATTTGAAAAGCTGTGTGATATATTTCCAGGAAGAGCAGAGATATTTATTGTCCAAAGATTAACAAAATTAACCCAGATGACTGTTTGATAAATGATTCAGTTTTTTCTGTGTGCATCTTTCAAGACCAAAGAAAATACAAACAATATTTCTTGTGACGGTTCTGTTTGTGTTAACTTCATTGTTGTGCTAAATATAATCCTATACCTTCAAACCGGCTTCCTCACAGGAGCGGTTAGCCAACATTGGACCCGAGGAGTTTGTGCAATCATTCATGAAGGAGGAGAAGAACGAGGCTGCGGTAAGTT